TCTGCCTGGATGCTCTAGCTAGTTTCTGTGTGACTCGATCCTTCTCTTCCTTCCTGTCTCAGAACAAATGTCTTCTTCTCAAAAAGGTCTTCTTGCATCCTTTACTAGGTACCCATCTGTCATAGTGCAGTGTTCATTCCCTTTGGAGAACAATCACATTTGGTCATTTTATTTATTCATTTGTTTACTTATTTACTATGTGTCCAACCACTAGAATGCAGCTCTTTGGTGACTGAGACAGTCAATCTGCTTTACTTACAGACCCTAGCATCTACTGCAGCTTCTCATACAAAGTACATAATCCACATGCATTTGTTTAACAAATGATTATTCCAGTTTTTCTGCTGTTTATCCAGTTTTCAAAAGTGATCATCTGCTTCATCTCCCATACTGAAGTTCCTTCTCTGCTTTAGCTATGTTGTCTCTCCCCACCCCCATTTTGTCTTGGCTATTTCGTTTCAGTTAATTTGTCATTTTACGTTGGATGAGACAAATTCAAAATATAATATTGACATTTCTGATATATTTTTGCCCTTTTCAACTTGTTTCTTATTTTTAATTTTATCTCCCTATTTCCAAATTCTATTTAGGTACTCATTTTTTAAAATAATTATTGTTTTATTACCATTTTACTCATATATTATTGTTACATGTATGTTAATAAATATTCATTTTAGTCTCATAAACGTTCAGTCTCCTTAAACAAACTTCCTGCCTTTCATCACTTCTTTTCTTGCTTGCTTTTGAATGGGGAGCAGCAGCGTCTGGTACTGGGAAATCCAGCTCGATATGCCCCCATCGACATTGATAGTGTTCAATTCTCCCAGAGGTTCTGCTTTTCAATAGGGATATTTATATTTAACCTCAGTATTAAACTTAATTCAAATCTGGATGGGAGTGTTGGAATAGCCCCCATTTTCACACATTAGGTAAGTCAAATATGTGGAAGCCGATAGGCACTCTGATAAAACTGGGTAATAGCTTTTATCTGAGTTCAGCCCAATTTAGAATGAGATTCTAAAAACCACCATATCAAAAACACTCAATTATCTGGCTAGACATGTTTTAGAAGTATCCATAACCTAGCGAAAGAAGAAGACAGGAAAAAAAAACCAAGTTGTTTTGAACAGGCCTGATATGAAGGGAGGCACAAGAGTTGGGTAATATCTGAATGATTAGAATTTTAATATGTCAGTTTGTTCTAAGAATTAACTTGAGCAAAATGATTTTCTTTGTTGCCAAACTGGGAGAGGAAAGAACACTCCTTGAGTAGAGATTACTTTCACCTCTTCTCCCCAACCGTAACAGCTAAGGGGAAACTGACCAAGGCAGTCCGTGTCCCCTCTAGATTTTCAGGAGTGAGCCCATTCTGTCCCCAAAACTGAGATGCTTTCTTCTTTTTCAGTCATTTGGTCTCATGCCTCCTTCAGGTGAAAGTTCCCTCAGCAGAGCTCAAGAACATTATGTTCTAGGCAAATATCCTAACTGCATAAATTTGGTAAGATCCAGCCCTTCACAAAAGAGTCTGTGTCATTAAGAAGCAGTACAGGAGGTCCTAACTCTTCCAGTTAATTAACTGGAGAAAAAAAGACTTCCCTTATTAGACAGGCTGGAGGTCCTGCAGGTTAAATTGTGTAACACGCAAACTCCAGATTTTAGCTCTACGTTACCTGGCCTGCTAACTTCATTCGCAGAAGAACTTCCCAACATCTGTCTCCTTCCTGAGAGGATTCCAACAAGGACCCCTCGGGGAACTCTCACCCAACTGAGAATACAGGGCATTTGGTGCCCTGTTACTCTCGTTAGGATATTCCCAAATCCCCTTCTGACATCACAGATGCCAGTGTTGATTTCCCTTTGCAGCTAATTCTACCGTCACCAGCCACAGGACACCACTGTCGATCCCACTCCACACAGAGCCCTGCATCTCTGCAAAGGGACTGGCTCAGACACGCACATTTTCCCACCACAGAGGACTCATTAGCTATGTAGTAACTTGGCCAGGGTCAGTTAGGTCTTTTTAGCCATGGTGTCTTTAGTAAATGTGGTAGGGCAGAAGCCTGAACCCAAAGTTACAACCAGTGACAACACATGCATCTTTTATAATCACATGACTCCACATTCTAGAACACACTCCACTATGACGAAAATTCTTAGAATCTGGAGAGGCAGGGAATGAAGACTGTGACCTCATAAACTTCCATTCATCTAAGTTCCAGTGACTATTTCAGCATTATCTGGTTTGAAAAACAAGGATATTTCCTCCCAGGCCTAAAGTAATTTCCTGAATCTAATCTAGGGTTTCTAAATATATATGTCACCTTTGTAGGAGCAAATGGGTGCATTAGATGGTTTGCTTCAAATCAATAGTTTCTTTGTATTTATGTCTGTGTGCACATCCAAGCACAGGTGTCTGTGTGTCTTTAAAATGCCATTAATACATGCATATTTGTTACTGTTACATTTCCTTTGTCCTGAATTGTAATTGTGGAAGATTTCAATACTAGAAGTTGGACATTATGATGGAAGTTATGGTAAAGCCTAATTCTTAGGCAATCTCAGCTGGAAAGATTATATCCCCATGGCTCATGTTTCCAGGGGCAGCTATCCTAAGAGAAGAGAGGAGCATTTACTCAAACTCATGCAACACTCAGTGTTACTTTGTAGGGTTGCTGTAACAAAATACCACCAATTGAGTGGCTGAAACAGCAGAAATAGTATTAGCTCACCCATCTGGAGGCTAGAAGTCCAAGATCAACGAGGCAGCAGTGTTGGCTTCTTCCAAGGGCTAAAGAGAGAATCCATTCCATGCCTCTCCCCTAACTTCTAGTGGTTTTCTGGAAATCTTTGGTGTTTTTTTTTTGCTTGTGGAAACATCATCCCAATCTTTGTGGACTTCATCTTTGCTTGACATTCTCCCTGTGTGCATTTCTTTGTGTCCAAATTTCCCCTTTTAATAAGGACACCAGTCATATTGGACAAGGTCCCACTCCAATGACCTCATCTTAACTGATTACATCTTCAATGACCCTATTTCCATATGTGGCCACATTCTGATGTAGTGGGGGTTAGGACTTCAACATAGGAATTTTGAGGGGGCACAATTCAACCCATCACCCTCAATCACAGGTTTTGCGTATCTTCAACTAACTATTGTAAAATAATCCCTGAAGTGATTATACCAATTCACTCTCACCAGCAGTTTATGAGTATTCCTGTTGCTCCACCTTCTTGCTAACACTTGGAACAGTCGGTCCCTAATTTTTGTCCATAAGATGGCAGTAAAATTATAGTTAATTTGCATTTCCTTGTTTAATAGGAGGGGGTGTTGAGTTCTTTTCATGTTTATTTACTGTCTCTGTTTCCATTTCTGTCAATTATCTATTCATTTCTTTTGACTATTTTTGTGCTGTACTCACTGGAAATATATTAACTGGGTGCCCATTATGTACCAGGTACTCTTTGAGGCACTTGAGATATGGTAAGAAAACATTTCCATCCATATATGGCTTATATTCTAGAAAGGATGATACACAAAAACAATATAAGTAAGATAATTAGATAGTATATTAGAAGGTAATAAGGGCTATGAAGAAAATTGAAGCAGAGGAGAGGGTAAGGTGTGTTTTCATGGTGATTTGCAGTTTTAAATCTCGTGGCCAGGGCGGCCCACATTGAGAAGGTAGTATTGCACAAAGATTTGAAAAAGGTGGGGGAGAGAGCCATATGCCCACCTGGTGGAAGGTTTTCCAAGAAAAGGGTTAAAAGAGCAGCAACCTGAGTAGGGAGAGGGAACAGGATATTAGGTTTGCTCTGAGAGGTGAGGGGCAGTGGGGGCAGCTTTATAGGACACTGTACACAGATGGAAGGACTTGGGCTTTTACACCTCGAGTGAAAAATCACAAAAGAACTTTGAGCAAAGTATTTTCTAATAGGATTATTATAGCTACTGGGTTGAGAAAATTAATAGCAAGATAAAAATTAATAACAAAATCCCTTGTGTGGTGCTGTGTTCCATGCACTGAGCTGGGCACTAGATATATATTAACTCATTTACAATATTCCAGAGAGAGAGACAAGAATGGAAGCAGGAAGATCTGTTCTGGTTATTAGTTCTTTTCTTTTCTTTTCTTTTCTTTTTTTTTTTACTGATTTATGGAAGTTCCTTATATATTCTAGGCACCACTTATCTTTTGGTGACTATATGCAGTTGCAAATATCTTCTCCCATTCTGTGGGTTATTTTACTATTAAGTTATGCCTTTTCCTATTCATATATATATTCTCAGTTTGTTGTGCTCTTTTCCCATTGACTTTTTAAGGAAATGCCCTTTTTAACTCCAGTCACCCTGCAATTTTTGGTTATATCCTCTTGCCTGCTACCACTGCACTTGGCACAAACCTCTTTTGGAACACTTACCAAATTACCTATTCATGTACGTCTTCGTCATTGGTTCTGTGAAATTCCGGGTTGCAAGTTCCTGTCTTACAAATTATGTCCCAGAAACTAAAACTAATACATAATGGGTGTTCAGGAAATTGTTTTAAAGCTTAAGTGGAAAAAAGCGGTGTGGTCTGGCATCGCTTCTCCTGGGAAAATGAGATAATGGATGATGTGCTTCAGTGAGTGAGATGAAATACTGAACACCGAACTAACCTTTGCTCCTCAGAGATCACTCAGATGAAAGCTCCACGACCACCCTCATTTTACTGCAGACTACGCTGTGGCAGGGATGAATTCGCCAAAGGTTAAGCCGGATGCAGGTTCCTAGAGCGACTATATCGGAGCTTTTTTGTAATTTGGAGTGTTCCCTTCAACCTTTGGGCAAGTCGTTGGCGTGAGAGGGACAAGAACTGAGATCTAAGACCGTCAGAGAATCCTTTCCCCAAGCGCCGGGTTCAGACACTTGTGCACTCACTACGCATGCGTCAACTTTCCCGCTAGGAATGGGCGGGGCAGAGCCTTGGCCCGGGTGGCGAGCCTCAGGAGGCGGGGCCAAACTGTTTCCAAGGTGACGGAGAGGCGGCCTCGGCGGTGGATTGAGCGGGTCTGATAGAGGTTCCCAGAGGGCTGCGCGCCCCGGCTGCTCGGTGCTGTCATGGCGGGCGTGCTGAAGAAGGTGAGCCAGTGGAGGTCACTGACGGAACTTTTGAGACCGTGGGGATGGAGTCAGCGGGTGGGGGGCGCGGGCTTGGCGGTGCTTTTGCGGGACTCATTTTGCTCTGCCCTTAGAGGTAACCAGTTTAGTGGCTCCAATCGGAGAGGCTGGAAAAAAGCTCCGAACGAGAGGCGTTGAGAGACCGGTAGCTGGTTTTCGGCCCAGTTTTTGCCAGGACAGTGGTGATTTTGCTTTTCCTTAGTGTGGCGACGCGTGGAATTATAGTAAACAGTGTGAATCGTGTTTTGTTTTGAACAGACCACTGGCCTTATGGGATTGGCTGTATGTGAGAGTCCACACGAGGTATGTACCTCTTTTTTTGTTTTTTCATTCCTGAGTTCCCCAGGAAAGCTAGAACCTTCAGACCTTGTTTCTTGAGAGGTTAACGGGATACGGATAGTTTAAGCCCAAAATTACAACTCAGCGTGAGCTCTTGAGACAGGAGCGGTATTTAGTCCTTCGTTTATCCGATGCTACTTTTTTTTTCCCCCGTCTATGGTCTCTTTTTCAAACCACTTTTCTTGATTTTTTCCGTGGCATTTTCGTGGCGTCACATGTAGTTTTGTGAGTGCCCTCCCAAATCTGTATCTTCATTTTCCACCCTTTCCTCCCTCCTCACCTTTTCTTAGGTGCTCTAGATTCTATACACTATACACTTCCCATTACCGAAGATACCACTTTAGCGGTTGCTCCCTTTTGTAATCAGTTTTCGCTTCTGGTAGATCTTTCCTGTCAGTATTCAGGCATGCTTCCATCTAAAAAACAAAGCAAACAAAACTTCCCTTGATCCTTCTCCCTCCAATAGTCACGCTATTTCCGTGCTTCCCTTTACAGGTAACTTCAAAGTTATCGATACTTTACCATTCCCTTTTTCTGCTATTCCACTTTGAAGGCTCTCCAATCAGGCTTGGCCAGAACTGCTCTTTTCAAGGTCACCATGCTGCTAAATCCAATGGTCATCTCACGTTTCTCATCTTAATTGACTCAATAGCAACATTTGACTCATTTGGCACTATATCCATCAAGCACTTTAATTCCTGTACTTAAGGAGTTTTCAGTCTCCTGGTGTTTTTTTCCTACTTTTTTTTTTGCCACATCTTTTTTCTGCCTTATCACTCATATTCCTACTTCTAAATGTTGGAGTTCTTAAGACTTTATTCTTGGGTCTTTTCTCTACTTATACATGCCCTCTCTTGGTGTCTGGACCCAATCTAATGGTTTTAAATACCACCTATTCACTGATAACTCTTGGGTTTCCTTATCAAGCACTGACCTCTCCCTTTATGAAAGTCTTGCATATTTAATTGCTAGTGGACATCTCCACTTGGATGTCAGCAACCCAAACTTAATATCCAAGTTTGAATTCTTGATCTTCTCCCTAAAATCTGCTCTTTGCTCAGGCTTGCTCATCTCAGTTCCATTCTTCTATTCACTCACGTCACAGACCTTGATATCTTTTATTCCTTTCTATTTCTCATACCCCACATTTAATACTTCTGTAAGTTGTCTGGGTTCTACCTTCAAATTATATCTAGATTTTTATTGCCTCCCACCATCTCCTCTGCTACTACCCTATTCTCCTCCACCATCATCACTGCTGTGGATAATTGCTTTCACTTCCTAACTGCCTCTCTGTGCTTGTCACTGCCTCAGTTTGATCTTTTTTCAACCAAATTAGAGTCAGCCTGTGAAAATGTGAGTCAAGTCATGTGAGTCCTATCCTCAAAACTCCCCAGTGGTTTTCCATTTCATTCTGAATAAGAGTCCTTACAGTGGCTCTCCAGATTCAACAGACTGTATTCTACTGATTTATCTAGTTTGTTGTCTCTCTCTACTAGAATGTAGGTTTCCATCGAGACAGGGTTGTTTTAGTCTTTTGTTCACTGCTAGAACTATGATTAGCACGTGGTGTGTGCTCAGTAACTAATGTTTGCTGTGTTAATGTCTTGTATTCATTATGAGTTCATAATGACTCTAGACTCAGTGTCTAAAACTGAACTCCTGATTTCCCCTTTCTAAATCTGTTTCTTCCTCTGTAGACTATTTTTATTGATGTGTCACAGTCTTTCTACTCCCCAGGCTGGGAATTTGGACGTTATAGTTGATAATTCTCTTACCCTTGTAACTTCATGTTCATTTCAGTGATGAGTTTTGTCGATCCTTTTCTATAACAGCTCTCCATTCTGACCTCTCTTTCTTTTTCCTACTCTTAGTACCACAGTTTAGTCCCTTGCTCTTGTTCATAGAATTGCAGCAAACTTGTTACTGACCTTCTTCTCTGTTTTTCCTTCATCCAATTCATTTAATTCACTTCTGCCAGGTTAATTTTTCTGAAGCATGCATCTAATCACAATTTTTCTGTATCTTTTAACTATCCACAGAATAAAGCCCAGATGCTTTAACCTGACATGTGAAACCACTTACAACCTGACTCCCCTTTTCTCCAACCTGATCTCCTAAGTGTTTCCTGTGTGTCCTGCATTATAGCCATGTGCTGTCCAATAAAAATATAATGCGAGTCATAAATGTAAACCATGTTTGTAGTTTAAAGTTTTCTAGGAATCACTTTTTTAATAAAGAAAAAGTTAATTTACTGAACATATCCAAAATATTACCATTTCAATATATAAATCAATATAAAAATTAACGATATTTTAGTCTTTTTTCATGCTAAATGTTCAAAATTCATTGTGTATCTACACGTAACAGTGCATCTCTGTTCAGACTGGTCACATTTCAAGTGCTCAGTGGTCAGATTTGGCTAGTGGCTACTATATTGAACACAGTTCAAGGAAAGTAGAACTGTGTACTAATTCCTTGATAGTTCCTTTATTTTTTGCCATTTAATTCTTTATATGTATTAATTGTATAAAATTACCTTTTCCAATGTCTTTAAGTGTCCAAATCCTACCATGCCTCCAGGTCATTCTGAGATGCTGCTTCTTCTATGGAACCTTCTCTGATATCTGCTTCCCCAAAAAAATAATAATGCTAACATTGAAACTTAACGTTTGCTAGATACTGTTCTAAGTTATACAACATCCTATGAAGCAGATATTATTAGCATCCCCATTTCAGAACCCAGATCTCTTCCTAGGCTTTTCTAGTGTCATGTGTCATACCCTTTGCTAAAATTAAGAAGAAATGGGGCTAACCCCCCCTACACACACACACACACACACACACACACATACACAACTCAGATTGTATGTTATCTGACAAGTTCTACATTAGTATAATAAAATACACTCTGTTATGGAGCATCGTATTCAAATATGTAAACAATGTCTAAATATACAAATTACTTTTTAAGGAAAAAAAGATTCTTAGAGGCCCTCAAGGTTGATTTTGTTTATTCATATGTATGGTGAGTATATATGAATGAAATTAGGTAGTAGCACCTATAATTTTATTGTATAAACTAAATTAAGCTAAAACAAATTTCAAATTAAATACAGATTAATATAAAATACAAATTAAATACAATTTAAATATAGATACAAATTAAAAAAAATAATCTGTGAGACTTTTTGAAGTATTCCATTAAATCTTTGGTGATATTTTAAGCTGGAAATTTGTATGTTTTGTCTTTTCAGAGGCTAAAAATATTGTACGCAAAGATTCTTGATGTTCTTGGACAAATCCCTAAAAATGCAGCATATAGAAGGTACACAGAACAGATTACAAATGAGAAGTTGAGTATGGTTAAAGCGGTAAGTAGCTGACTTGATTTTGTTTTATTGAATTTATGGTATCCAGTGCAACATTTAACACAAAAATTCAGTTGCTTATTTTTATTCTCATTTCTATTCTCTTTCCTTCCATGCTTTTTCTTTCATCCTTTCTCCCTTTCATTCACCAAACTCCTGTTTACTGAGTACTTGTAATATACAAGGCACTACTAAATATAGGAGTGAAAGAATAAGATCAAGTCCTTTCCTTAAGTCAGCATGGTAGCTTTCTTTTACATCTCTTACCTGTCCAGTCCTTTATTGATTGTTTACTTCTTATCTATAGATACATCAATCTTTATCTCTCTTTTCTAGTTTCAGAGTAGAGAAGAATGAAAACAGAAGAAAAAAAAATGTGTGTTGTATTTAGCAACTGTCAGAAATAACAAGTGCTTTGTTGCAGAAAGAAGAGGACTAAGTCTCTTAACTACCAAAAATTATACTGAGCCTTGTTATGGACTGAATGTTTGGGTCCCAACCCCCACATTCCTAAATTGAAGCCCTACCCCCCAGTGTGGAGTAATTAAGGTTAATGAGGTCGTAAGAGTGGTGCCCTGATCCGATAGGATTAATGTCCTTAAGAAGAGACTCTAGAGTGTTCATGTTCTTTGCCATGTGAGGACACAGCATGGTGTCTGTCTGCAAGCCAGGAAGAGAGCTCTCACCAGAAACTGAACCCTGCCACACCTTGATCTTGAACTTTCAGTCTCCAGAACTGTGAGAAAATAAATTTTTGTTCTTTGAGCCACCCAGTCTTTGTATTTTGTTATGGCAGCCCAAGTGGACTCATACAAACATTTTACAGCTTCTGAATCAAAGGCCCTAGGCAGGCACACAGTAGACTGCTGCTAATTCTTTCATACCAAACTATATTGTACCATTGTTAAATCTGCACAGCAGCAGTTATTTTGTGGACTTTTGTAATTATCCAAAAAAGTGGTCATAAACTCCAAAAGTAACTTATACATGCAATAAGTGGTCCTTATATTTTTTCCTTATTAGATTACCAAACTCTAGTCCAAAGAGAATTCTTATACTTTCCTTAAGTGTACAGCAAAACAATGCAGTTTGATTTGGAACTTTTCTTCTTATTCTGACAATTCTGGAGGTAATTTACAGATTACAAGTCTCTAAAGGGGAGAGACTTTTCTTTAAGGAAAATGGGCTTATGCATTTTTTCCCATCACAGAGTAAGAAATTGCCCTTTTTCTTTTCATGAGGTGAATCTCTTAAACTCTGTCTTTTATTCTTTCTCTGCTTTTCTTTTCCATAACCTTGTTCCTCTTTAATCATTTCTTCTATTTTTCTTTTTAGCCTCCCATTTTATTTCATTATCACTTTCAGATAGCCTCAAAATGTATTTAGCTTCTTCTTACCTTAAAAAAGAAGAAGAAAACCTATCTTTATATTTTCCTTTACTTTTGCCCTATTTCTCTCTCTTCTCTCATAGTCAGTGTCACCCAAAGAAGAGTTCATTGTCATTACTTTCACTTAGTAGTTATAAATTTTTTTCTATGACCTGGGCTGTTTTAATTGCCTTATAACTAATTGGTCTGTGTATAGTTCTGTCATATTTCATTATATGCCCCACACTGCCAAGAATTTTCTTTCAATATGTAAATCTAATTGTGGTAAGTTTCTGCTTAAAAACCTTTCTACCGTTTCCTGTTCACTGTTTCTCAAAGGCTGAATTTAAGGACTTACACTGGGCTGGTTGTGTGAAACTCACCCTAGCTACCTTTACTGTGTGGTTTTGATGTACAGCCAGGCTTGGGCACCACTGGCTTATAGTATTCTTATCCTAGTATGGAAGCCTCCCAAAATCTGGCTCTAAATTTTCTTCTCAATATTATCTTGTCATTTCCTGTTTTGTACACTTTACTTTAGTAATACCAGACTGCTGACAGTTATGTGAATTCCATGCAATTTTATTTTTGGTTCCTTTGTATTTTCTCTTCTCTCTCTCTGGAATACCCTTATCTTGTCTGTCTGGCAGTTCTTAGTCTTTAAAACTCATCACTTCCTCTGTGAAGCCTTTTATATCTCCTCTACTAGTCCATAAACTACTTGTGAATTGCATCCATCTTTATATCCCAAGAATCCGGCTTAGTACCTGGCACTTAATAAGGTCCTTGGAAATGTTTGTTTATCCAAAAGGCTAAATATTAATAGTTTTTAAGAACACCAAGCACTATATAATAGCTGTATTGCTCTATCCTGTTTTTGGTAAAATTGTCACAAATTTTTAATCCCCCATAGAGGCATAGAGTCTTCAATGAATATTATAATGATTATAAAATATCTATTTACTAAGCCTAAAATGGAAGTAAAAATAAATATTTGTTCAGATTATACTAGGGAGATAGTAATAGCATATTGGTGAAAAGCATTGGTCTGTGGTCTAAAATTTTCATCTCAGCTCTAATACTTATTTGCTGATTTGGCATATTGCCTATTTTCACTGTCTCAATGTCCTCATCTTTAACTTGGGTATAATAATTCCTGCCTTGAACACTTTAATTATTAGGACTGAATGGGTAATACATGCACAGTGCTAACCACAGTTGCAAGCATGTAGTGAGCACTCAGTACATGGTGCCTTATCATGCCATTGGTAAATAACAGTCACATTATTGACTCACCTTAAGTAAGACAAATTTTGAATTATTTTCCCAACATGGGTTTTTTCCTGAGGTTGAAAACCATGTTGAATATTCCTTGCTTTCTTAACCTTCTCCCCTTCTCCCTCGTGGGTCTCTCATAACAATGACCAGCTTCCCTGTTTTGTTATTGATGTTTGGCTTCAAAACTCAGTCACTTTTGAGTTAAACAGTCTTTCTCGAACATGTTCATCTGCTTTTTTTTTCCCCTTTCTTTTCCAGCTACTTTATATTTGTTTAAGATGCGTATTGAGTGCCTGTCACATGCCATGTATAGTTCTGGGCATGGAAGCTAGTGCTTACAAGGCAATGAACAAAATGTAAAAATACCTGCTTTGGAGATTACACATTAATGATGAGAGGCAAATAAATAAATAAATAAAATAAGTAAGTGAATAAATAAGTACATTCCATAGTATGTTAGAAGATAGTAAATGCAGTGAGGGAAGTTAAGGAAGAACGACGTGTCCGAGGGTGATGAGGGATGCTACAGAATGAGTTTCCTGTGGCTGCTGGAACAGTTTACCACAGTGCTGGTGACTTAAAACATTCACAATTTATTCTCTTACATTTCTGGAAGCCAGAGTCCAAAATCAGAATCAGGGCCCCAAATCAGGGTGTCGGCAGGCCTGCACTCCCTTTGGAGGCTCTAGGATAGAATTCCTTCCTTGCCTCTCCCAGCTCTGGTGGCTTGTGGCCAAATCACAATCAGTCTCTGCCTCTGTGGTCACATTACTTTCCCCTCTTCTGTGTGTAGTCTCCCTCTGCCTCTATCTTAATGAGGATACCTATAATTGTATTAAGGGCCCACTCAGATAATCTAGGATAATCTCACCATCCCAGGATCCTTGATCACATTTGCAAAGTGTTTGCCATGTAAGGTGGCATTCACAGGTCCCAGGAATTAGTTCATGTATATTTTGTGGGGCATTATTCAGCCTACAACAATATAAATTATCAGAGTGATCCCCGCTAAGAAGATGATGTATGAGTGAAGACTTTGATGGAAGTGAAGGAACAAGCCATACAGATATTTTGGGCCAGCCAGCAGATGCCCTGAGGCAGATGCCAATTCCTGTAGAATATACTCTTCCTCCCTCTTTTGATTCTATTTATAGGCCAAAAACCCACCCTATTTACATATGCATGTGTATATACAGGGCATGGTTTCTGGCTCTCAAAAAGCTTAGTCTACTACAAAATTAATATGTTGCTGAATATTCTAGGTACCCTATTAACATTTCTTTTTTAAAAACCTTTTATTGAAGAAAAATGTACATAAAGAAATGTGCAGAAATCATAAGTATAGAACTTGAATTTTCACTAAGTAAATCACACGTCAGCACTAATTCAAAAAAGACGACATTTCTAGAATGCCAAAACCCTCTCTTGTTCCCCTGGAGGTTGCTATCCTCCTAGAGGTAACTACTCTTCTGGCCTCTGACACCACAGGTTCATTTTGTGTGGTTTGGAACTTTTTATAAGTGCAATCATCAATATGTATTTGGTTTCTTTTACTTAATAATATGTTTGAGAGAATCGTCTATGTTGTTGCATGTGGTTGTAGTTTGTTCATCCTCATTGCTCTGTAGTAGTCTGTTCTATTAAAATACCATAATTTACTCTGTGTATGGCCATTTGGACTGTTCCTAGTTTGGAGCTGTAATTTGTGCTGCTGTGAGCATTCTTGAACATGTCATTTGGTTAACGTATTATGCATTTCTGTTTGGTATATACCTAGGAGTGGATTTCTAGATCCTAAGAAAGCATTTATTTTTGATGCTAATGCTTAGGGGGAAATACAGGAAATACTAAGCAGATAAAATGTTATTTTAAAATCTGTATTTTAGGAAAACCGAGTTAAGCATCATATTCTTACCCTTGTTAAGCATATCAGTAAACATTTAACACTTTTAAGATGGAAAAGCAATAAAATAATAGATAAAATGACTTTCCACCAAATATTTGGTAAAAATTAGCAAGGGTACAGGGAAAGAAAAGTTAGTTTGTCACAATTAAGTGCTTTTTGTGCTTCTTTGTGTAAATATTTTTTTCTTCTCTTTTTCCCTTAAATTATAGGAACCAGATGTTAAAAAATTAGAAGAGCAACTTCAGGGTGGCCAAATAGAAGAGGTGATTCTTCAGGTAAGAAAAAGTTGAATATTCAGATATTTGGCTTTAAATGTTCAAAGGCACAAGGTATAGAGGTACAAAACTGACATTCCAGAAAGAAAGGAAAACTAAATTTTTAAATTTATATCAACTCATCAAATATAAGACATATAGAAAATACATACTTCTGACATGTGTATGTCATTTATCATTGATTATAATTTGAATTTATGAAGCTTCTGTTGGAAGTTTGGAATTTAATCAGTGTGTTCTTGTTTGCCTTTCCTTAGTTGAAATTAGTAATACAGAATTATTGTTATTGGAATAATTTATGTTTTTAGATACAAATACTTTAATGTATTAAAGGGTTACTATATTTTTAATATAGGAAAACACAGGTCTTTTGGGTCATAAAATTAAAGTGTATTTTTCACTATTGGTTAAATTTTTAAAATATGTTCTTGTATTTCATGTTGTAAATTATTAATGTTTTTGCTCCATCATTTGTTTTTAGTGTTTTTCTTTTATCTTTCATTTTTTTTTTTTAATGAAAGCTATTAACCTTAAATTTTTGCTATCTTGTTTGTTTATTCTTTTTTGGTCTCTTTGCCTTTCGACTTCAGTTGAATATTTTCTCCTTTATGTAGAGGTTTTTAATTTTTTATTTGGTCAAATTGCCCTCCCCTTGTCCACCCCCTTTTCAGTCCCACTCTATCCCAGTATTACAAGTTTAGAATGTCTGCCCCTTATAAGGATCTGATAAATATTCAATTCTGTTTCATTTAATTTTTATTTTTTCACATTTTAAAAAGTGTAACCATTTCTTCTTACATTTTCTTGCCTTTTATCAAAGTATATAACCAATAGATGTGATATACAAATTCAAAAGAATTGTTAGATGGCTCTGTTAAAAGAGGAATGGAGCATTCAGATAGCTTTCTAGGCATGTAGACTGTTTCAGTCATTCAAAGACCTATTTTCTTGGCCTTTTATTCATTTGCCAGGTTGAATATGGTACTCGGTATGTTATGGGAACTTGCTGCAAACTTATTGTCTTCTTCCTGTTCCTCTTTCTTTTCTACCTGATTTCACTTTAATCGTGACTTTAGTTTATCTGATGTGTTAATTTATCATGCAGTTATACATTAGGTATTTTTAAGTTAGCTGTGCAGTTCTCCACATTTTGATGGGCAAAATGTTAAGATTAAATTAACTTTAATAATGTTTTATTTAAGCCAATAGATCTAAAATACTATTGAAACGTATCATTAATATAATAAATTAAGACAGTTTACTTTTTATTTTAATACCGAGTCTTTAAAATCTGGTGTGTATTTTATACTTGCAGCACATCTGTATTTGAACTAGTTACTTTCATGTGCTCACTCAGTAGTTACATATAGGTAGTGGCTACCATATTGGCAGCCCATTTCTGGAGGTACAATATGAGAGGAATGAGGAAAGAATAGTGTGTTAGAAGCCAGAGAAGAGGGAGTGGATGCTGGGGCTATGTGCCGCTGAGTCCAGCTCCCTGAAGTAGAGCTGGCCTCAGTGATGTTCAGGAGTAGGCACCCTCCCCACCCTGCAATGCCTTGGGGGCATAGAGGAAGTGTGAATGTTTGAGATACTGACCAGAGGGCAGTCAGGGAAACAGCCATCCTTAGGAATATTTTTAATCAGTATTTTCTCATTTCAGCATTAGTAAATACCTCTACCCCCAGATTTCTATTAATCTACTCTTTAACTGGATTGTGTATATTTTAGACTGTTGCTGCTAAACATAGGTTGGCTGCTCTGCACCACTGGCACAGATGAGGCATTGCCTTTTAACTAGAGAATATAGCCTCTGATAGGATCTCAGCACCCATTCTGTGTTTTAGTTCCTTCTCTGATGTCCAGACAGGCGTTCAGCAATGTTCTTCTTTTAAGTTGGCTAGAGTCATCATAGGTCTTTTTGCTGTAGAAAAAAAATATGCAGTAAAAGATAGCTAAAATATATTTGTTAAATATGGTATATATTGTGTTTGAAAGGAAAAATTAAATGTAACTATCTGACTAAGGAAACTGATTCGATTGCTCAATAAACAAATACACCTATTGTATTCTCTTGCATTATTCCATAGATCCCTGTTTTACAAATTGTTTGTCTCAAGTGATTTTAGATCATAAAATCAGTTAAGTGGATTATGACTAGTGGTTCTTTTTTTTTTTTACATTCAGTAGAAAATAGTATGTGTGACAACTAGTTAAGGTGATGATATTTTTAAATTTTGTTTTAGTTACATGTGTATATTTCTGGATCCCTTAGTGAAATTTTTGTTTTTTTTAATGGTGGGCCATGGTAAAATAAAATCTGAAAGCTATTGACATAGTTTGAGACATAATTCTTCAAAGAATTTGTAGTGTAAATTGTGAAACAATTAAAATTGAAAACTCACCAGCTAAACTTTTGAACAATCTAACAGCAAATTTTTAATAAAATAAATCAGAAGCTGTCCTTTCTTATTCATGATGATTGTGTAGCTGTGAGAATTAAGGTAATTTAATTAATGATGTTCAGCATTTGATGGTAGAACAGCTTATTAGGTATTAGCATGAAAGTAATAGCTCTAATAGTTATACTTCAGTTATTAGCTTTGGTAAATATCTATTAAGCAGTATAATCAATGATCTTTTTAAAAATTTTTATTAACAGGCTGAAAATGAACTAAGTCTGGCGAGGAAAATGATACAGTGGAAACCATGGGAGCCTTTAGTGGAAGAGCCTCCTGCCAACCAATGGAAATGGCCAATATAAACATCATTAAGTGACCTGTGTGTTGATGGGAAACTGATGTAATTAAATATTCTGTTATATTAAAAATGTTTCCATATTATTAACATAATCAAGAAAATTGATACCGAACATATTTAGGAGACTTGTTAAACTTGATGAGAACGGTAATAAGGATTTGTGAAACAGTTTTTAATTTATAAAACATTCATTCAGATTTTTTCAGAGATGATATTTTTTTAAACAGAGAGGGTATGGGGAAGTTTGGAAAGTTAATTGGGAAACTTCCTAGAGATTTTCAATGCAGGGTTCATATTCAAAAGGTGAAGTATTTTTAGTGGTATCTTCACATTGTTTAATTTTTTTTATCCTGAAAAAAAAGAAAAGGTACTTTATTATTATTGTTTGAACAAATTTATAGGTCACTGTTTGAAGTGAAATAGTAAGAGTAAAAACCATCAAATTAGAATTTATTGTGCAGTTGAGAAAATTTGTTTGGTATTTGAAAGAGTTTTTTTTAATTTATAGAGGTAGTTGGATAAACTTACTTTTTTCTTATTTAAGGAAGTTATCTTTCTGGCCCTTTGCCTTTTTTTTTTGATCAACCAAAGTACGTCAAGATAAAGATAGAATTTCTGTAAAAGAAGAGACATTCAGAGTTTCTAAAGTTTCTAAAGACATACAGGTAGGCTTGTTTTGAGAACATCTTAGTTGTATGGTTATAACTTCAAAGTGGAATCACTAAGTAGTTTTCACTAATGTCCAATATTAGTGCAGCTAGATATCAAACAAGATAAATGCTGTTCAAAGAAAGAAGCAGTTTGGCAAGTTTAAGGGTAAACAAAAATAAAATTACTTTTTATATGTCCTCACCTTCTAGCCTGCTATCACTTTTAAATATTTGGCTAAATTTGGTATTTCTTACCTTCAAAGATAGTACTTTTGCTTTTTTGTGTGTGTATTTTTACATCTGCATAATGTGTTTTTGCTGTCTCCGGTAACAAAACAGAGCCTTTCAGAATTTTTAGAATGAGTAGAAAATTATATTTTTCTTTTTCTGCAGTATATTTCTCCCTTCATAGAGCTATAAATTGAATGTTAAATGAATTGGATTGAGTTGCTTTTGAGCAGTCATATTGCAAGAGAAACTTCTTTGGGGAAGTGGGAAAAGCATTAGAGGGAGAGTCAAGTCCAGGGGTTCTCATTCCCATGGTTCCAGCACCATCATGAACTCAGTGACGAAATGGAGGCAAGTTGTCAGTCTCTCAGAATGGCCTGTTTATACCCTTCTCTGTAAAAGGTAGAATGTATGATTTATAACTTCCTTTTCAGTTCTAACCATTGCTTTAATATATAATACACAGTATTTATTGAGGTCAAAACGTGTGATCTCAAAGCATGTTTGCATAGATGCTTTCAAGCTAATTTTCTAGCCAACAGTTTTTTTCAGGTCCTTTTGGCACATGAAAACAGAAAGGTGGCTTGATACATACTTTCATCTCCACTTCTCCCATAGTCCTTGGGCGTCTTTTATATTTCACCAGCCGAGCTCCTGTGGCCATCAGTAAAAGCGGGCCTTCTATGATGTTTGCATTAGAGATGCTAGTTGAATAGCAATACTAGTCACAGTAACAATAATAACTAACGTTTGTAATATTTGCCAGACACTTTTCTAAGTATTTGACTGCCGTTACTCAGTGAATCTGCACTACAACCGTAAGAGTGAGATCCTGCAAATCATCTCCATTTTTCCAGATAAGGAAACGAGAATTCAGTTGTGAGTAGTGCTCCCCTGCAATTAGGCAACATAGGGACCCTGGAGAAACTGAAGCACAAAGACAATGTAATAACATGCCCAATGTCACATAGTAAGATGTGGAGCTAAATTTTGAGCCTAGACAGCCGTGCTCCAGCACTCATTCTCCTAACCATTATATTACTCTTTATGCATAGCTTGGGGTGCTGTCCCTCCTGCCTGTACTGTATGGGCTGCACCAGAAGAACCTAGATCTGCTTCTTGACTCTTTCTATCAAAGTACCTATAATAAAGAACAAAGGCACTGCTGTGAGGGCCATCATTCTTTTACACTTCCTGTTATTCCGCTGCCCATGTCATCCAGGTGCTTCCTATAAACTTCCAGATTAAATTTTCCTGATCTTTTGCAGCTAATTCTTCTGTTTAAAGATCTTCAGTGTTGCTGAGTGGTTTCTAGACGAATTTGAGTAATTTTCAGAATGGCTCATTTCAGTCTCCCTAGGCTCCTCATACGTTTCATTCAAATTAATTACCATACTCCAGGCACCTCAAAAGAAATAGGAGCTTATCAGTTTGAGCTTTGCAAACAAAGAAGAAAGTGGCAGCAAAGTGATGCTCCCTTTGTCCTATCTGTGAACTGAGTGTACAGTATTCCAAGTTTTTGGCATTCTTTCTTTTGGGAAGAAAATGGTTTATATGTAGGATAACTGTACTTTTTCATTCAATATGTAATGATTTTGAGAGTGAAGGGAAGTAGATGAGAATAACAGATATAAACCATGACTATCCTGGACACACAGGATATGGCTCAGCCTGAGGGATGCTCACCTTTTTAGACCAGGAGCACTTGGGAAGTTGTCTGCCATCTGGATAGAAAGGATGTGATGCCAGCAGTGGCAGCCATCATGTACTTGCAGACCTCAGGTGTCACTGTGCCTCTTCATTCTCCGTTATTCCACCCCTTGGCGCGCTTTCCCTCAGAACTGGGGATGGAAGTTTGTTTTGTTTCCTTTTCTAATCCTAAAGTGCAATTGGAAAAGTGAGGCTAATTGAGCTTTTTTGTTGTTATAATGCAAAGCAGGTTTATTTTCAAACACAACAGTGAGGAATAGGATACTAGATAAAAAGGAAAGGAGTCTTCTGTCAAATCTGTCAAGTGGAGATCAAGATTCTTTTTTATATTTTCACTGTAAAAAGGCAGCTTACGTTATTGGGATGCTGGTAGGGGTGGGGCGGGGCGAGCAACCTGTCAGCCTCTGCACAGGGTCCCTGAGGGCTGCCTGGTCCACCTTTGCGAAGTGGGATGCAGGGCCTCTTCTCCCTGGTTTACCCCACCGGTCAGCCTGCCTCTCACTCGGGTCCAGTCTGCTCCCTCAGCTCCACGTGGGTCTTGTCGCCAGATTCTTAAGGAGCTACCTTTGGGACCTACTAGGATGGGAAGACGTGCTGTGTTACCGTCAGAAGTTAAGTCTCTACCTGCTGCAGTAGGCTTTTCAAATGGGCATGGCCTAGCAAACATATACCAAACATTTGCTTTTCTATATCCTTGTGAATTGCCTTCCTCCCCTTTGAAGTCTTAAACCACTATCCGCAACATCCTCTTTTGTCTTTAGCTGAAGATGGTATTTAATGTGAGATTTTCGGCCAATTTGGTGAATGACTCAGTTTTTCTGGCCTCTCCCGTGTTTATGTGTAATTAAAATTTGAATGATTTTCTCTTGTTAATCTGTCTTATGTCAATTTAATTCTTAGACCAGCCGAAAGAACCTAGAAGGGAAGAGGAAAATTTCTTCTTCCCCGATAGAATCAAAGTGGGAACATGATACAGGAATTGAATTATTGATGGGGACTGGAGAAATTTATTTGAATGTTTTTATTTAGAGATAATAAGCCAAAACTCTCCTTAGTGAAGGAAAATATGAGGAAAATATGAATTAGAATAGGCTACCCCTAAGTCCCACTGTCTTATTCAGACAGTGAAAGTTTGTTTCTTATTCATATTACATGTCTAATGAGGGTTGACAGTGCTCAAAAGAATCACACAGATCCAGGCTGAAGATGATGACATTTCAACACATGCTTTCACAGACACAGGGGCAGGGGAAAAGGAATATGGCAAATCACAGATGGAAACAAAAAAGAAACAGAAAGCCAAGGTTAAAACAATTTTTTTTGGAATGTGTTAAAGAACTCATTAATTTAGCTTGCCATGCATTGCTAATAATGAGTTTTCAACGTGGCTTCGGTTTATAGTAATAGCTGTTTGTTGTGTGCTTACGTGAAATGTAAGGTAGGCTAGCTTCTTTCCATACATGACTGTAAGTGAAAAGCATTGCAGAGATTCTTTATTGGTATTTCTCATAATCTTCAAATATTAGGTTGATTTCTTTTTCAGGTGAACATTTGAGGCATTTCTAAAGAGAAACATTACTATTTTATGATAGTGTATTTCATTTTACTCTTTTTCTATAATTGGAAGTTTGATTCCTTCTCTCAGGGTGAAACAGGTCCACAATTCCCTATCTCAATTCCAGACTCCAAAAATGTTTGAAAATAGAAAAGTTTTTCATAACTTATTTATAAGCAAAGCCTGACCTGAATTGAGAGAAGGCTGTTTGTGGTCTTTATCCGACTTTAATGCGAATGTGAATATATTCTGCCCCAGAAGTACTAGTGTATTTGATTCTGAAGTACGTCCTCAAGCCTACTGAAGATGTTACAGGATCATAAGGTATATGCCCGTATTACATGTCAAAAGTCTGAAAAATTCTGAATTTCAAACACATTTGTCCTTTAAGGTTTCAGAAAAGGGGCTATGGATCTGTATTTCCAGTATCTTAACAAGCTCACAAAGGTATTATTATCCAAATTCAGGTTCATACATGTAATTTCCAAAGTATAATTTGCAGGTCCTTAGCTTTCCAAATTATTCTTCTAATATGTTTTTCTAATTCATTCATTTACATTAAAATGCATTTTAGCCTAAAGGGAGATATTTTGAAATGCTTGATTTCATAAAGCCATTAGATGGCATCTTTATAAAAATAAAAGGTCTTTAAAAGAAATGCTTATTGTATAAATAAAGGCTGAGATAAATAAAGGTAGATTCTTATTTCGTGAGAAATAAAGATAAGTCATTTGGGGCAATAAATCCTGAGAAAAATGCATAGGTCTATTGTGAAAAATAAAATGGAAAATGATATTTTAAAATTACTTTTCCACTTTCAGAATTGAGGGTCTTTTTCCGATTGGTTGTTTTCATCTTGCATTTACATTTTTTAATATAACCAAGCAACTGTATATTTGTGTGTGTGTGTGTGTGTGTGTGTGTGTGTGTGTGTGTGTGTGTGCATGTGTGTGATTTTGATGTGCTAATAACCTTTCTAAGCTGCATAGACTACTTGGGAAGCCTATCAATTAAGTTAGGCTTATACTGTAAATTGAGTTGTATAAGATCACCTCCACAGCAAACTATAAATAAAATATGAACATACAGTATCAAGTCACCTTTTAACATTGTGAAGTACTTAAATTTCTCTACCACCAAGTTTTCTTTCCTCCACCTCCTGCTTCTGTGCCTAAACCTAGTATTTTCATACTGTCCCTAATATGGAGGACAGTGAATGATAAATTTTAAAGAGGAGACCCAGAAAGGTGAACGTTTAAAACCAATGGCATTCTCATTACTAGTAAAATTTGAGAAACACTATGATTTTGGAGATGGGGATGGGGGAGTGTTGGGAAGAACTTGTCTGCACACCTCCAATCACACTTGGTTTATTCATGAAAGACTAATTCTAGTGGTTATCTGAATGCCCTTTGCTCTTCATGAATATGTGGCTTCAGGAAGTGCATTTAAATGCATTTGCTTTTATTTAAAACCATTAGTAAAGTCAATTTGATTTGCAACTATAATCCATATTTTATATTGTTCTGGGTAAGAAATATCTATTTTAGTGTGAGATAAAGACTGAAAAAATGACATTGGACATTAGGAAGCTACTGGGGAGATGAGAATGTAATTTCAACAGAATGGTATAAAGGAATGAAGACACTGAACATCATGAAAGGAAAATGAACCTGTCCTATATATGACACAAATTTAAGTTTTTATTACTTTAGTCTTGTATCCTTTTTGGAGGGTGTCGATTAGGTTTATTTATTTATTTTTTTAATGGAGGTACTGGGGATTGAACCCAGGACCTTATGCATGCTAAGGGCACACTCCACCACTAAGTGATACCCTCCCCCCAATCTTACACCCTTTTAAAATAGCAAACTGTGCTAAGTCAAGGGTAGCATAGAATAGTGGTTTAAAATGGAGGCTCTGGAGTCAGACTGCTTGCGTTTATTTCTGGCTCCCCACTAAACCTCTCTGAGCCTTAGTTTCCGCATTAGTAAAAGGAAGCTGATCACAGTTCTTCCTTAATAAAATTGTAAGAATTAAATTAAAAATATATGTAAAGTGTTTAGGAATAAATAATACTTAATAAATGTTACTATTATAAAGCCACATGAAATTTGTTACATTTGCAATAGGAAGCATAATTGATCCTTTCCTTCAATAATATGTGCTTCTTTAAAAACCATCTCAATTTAAAGAATTTATAGTGATAGGAAAAAGAAAAAACTTTATAATTCAGTGTTCAACAATAGCTTTGCTTCTCCTGACTCAAAGGGGGAATTATTTAATAGCGCCCATCTCCCTTTTCTCTTTGGCTGCCAAGGAGCCAATAGCCAAGTTCCAAATTTAGCAAAAGCAAGTAGGCATCTACTTGTTGTACCACTGTATACTACTTGGTCAAGGTCTTCACTCACTTCTTATTTACATTTTCCCTAACCCTTATTTTTCGTATCCCAAAGCGCAAATTGCTTTCATTGTTTGGTTGGGAGAACTGTGCCATTTCGCAAACATAAAGACATCTGAGAGAGCGGCTTCTGCCCAAATCACTTTCGGCTCCAGATAACGAGTGGGCAACAAGCCCCCTCGCCCCGCCCCTCCCCGCGCCTCATGCCTTCTCTCCGCCCCCTCGCCCCCGGTTCCGCCCCGCCTCCTCTTTTCCAGCGTGGGCACCGCCTCTTCTCGCGGGAGCGGTGCCCTGTTGGGGACAGGGTTCCAGAACCGTTGCTAGGATACGACCCGTAACCGAGAGTCCGGCGAGTATGGACTCTGCTTACTAGGAGCCTGAGGAACCGCTTCCACCCGAGTTACTGCGTTTCTTAGTGAGGTAGGAGGACAGGTTCTGGCTGCCCTCTGTCGGCCCGACCCCTCGACCGACCTTGAGCGGGTGGCTGAGGCGCTGGGCTCCGACGGCTGTGTGGGGCGCTGATGCAGCTTGGGCTCTGGGGGCTGTTTGGCCGCTCGGGGATGTTCCACCTTTGCCTACAAACCTGTGCAAAGCATCCCATCTTTCTTGGTTCCTTTTCTGGCTCCGGATCTCTGATTTGGGGTTAGGAAGCAGCAGCATCAAGCTAGGAGGTGTACCTCACTTTCCATGGTAGTAGTATAAAAGCAAGACGGGTGTGTAACCCAGGTCTGGCATTAGAAGACGTTCAGCCCTCCATGGTGACCGTTTTCAGCCTTTAGTAAATAGAGCGCTTTCAGACTTTACTCTTTCACTCCTCTCCACCCATGGTCTTTGCTGTGCCTCTTAAAAAAACTTAAAAACTCAACACGACTACTTGGTAGAAGGCAAAACTGGGTCCCTGACTTAATACTTACACTAATATTCTAGATATAGCAACGAAACTATGCTTTGTAGGTGAAAGGGGGATTTTTAAAATATGCAATCATAGTAGAGTGTTTTTTCTTTTTAAACATTTTTTTAAAGATTATAACATTTACGCTTGAATGCTTAATACATAAAGTTGATAAAAAGTTCAAACAGTAAAAAGAATGAACAGTGAAAATCTGCTTCCCACCCACGTCCCCCGCCACCTCTCCGCCCTCCACGTCGCCTTCCAGAGGTATTCTATGCATATACAAATATGTAGTTGTATCTGTAACATTGTTCATCCTGGTATGTGCTTTTGTTGGAGGAGGTCATTGGAAGGACGTGACCCGGTACCCTGGCGGGCAATTGGAGGAGAGGCTCTTTCCCGCTTCCCTGTCCTTGGAATGTACCTCTGCCCACTGTTGCTGAACCAGGAGATGTGTTATTAAGACCATCTGAACTGTATACGTGACTGAACCCCGTAAAATTCTCATTAACTCTTAAGATTTTGGCAGGTGGATGTTGAGATTTACTGTCTTTAGGCTGCCTCCTTTGCCTCCTTTGTAAGTTTCCCTGCTTGTTAAACCTGCCATCTACAATCTAGAATGGTCTGCCTCTTTCTCCAGTTCTCCCTGCCATCTGTGTGCTGGGCTCAATTTCAGTTTTACTCAGGGAATTATAGAGGTTGTGAACCAAGAACTTTGTGTTTCCCTTAATTGAACCATACAGTATGTAGCCTTTAGAACTGGCTTCTTCATTGAGCATAATTTAATGGAGAGTCACCCATGTTGTTTCTTGAACTTTTTAAAAACTGAGGTTTTGTTTAGTTTTGTCTCATTTTACTATTTTTCTCTGTACTGTTCTGGAATTTAAAAACTTTATTTCAGTTCTTTTATTGGTGGTTCTTGAAATTTAACCGCTTATATTTAATTTAACAAAATCTAGCATTACGAATATCATCTCTCTCACTTTTGTAAACAGTATAAGGATTTGATAAGTTTATTCTCATCATTCCCTTCCCAATTGCGTATGATTATTGTCTCATATTTTAATTTTCTGCTGTTATTTTGTGTTGACAATATTTATTTGTTTTTACCCATATGTTTTTGATTTATTTGTTTGCCTATTCTTCTTTCACTTCAGACTAACATGGGACCCATTTTCCCCCTTTTTCAAGTGTATCCTTAAGAAATTTCTTTAGAGCAGTTCTCTTGGTGATAACTTATTTGTGAATGTTTCCGTTTTTCCTTTTTTTTTTCCTGTTTTTCTTTTTGAAATATAATTTTGCTGGGTACACAGTTCTGGGTTGATAGTTATCTTCTTTTAATTAGTCCATTATTGCCTTGGCTTCTATTTTTCTGAAGAAATATTTGCAGTGATTTTACTTTTCTTTCCTTTGTATTAATGCCAGCAAATTAATATAATTCAAAACAGTGGATGATATGTCCTTTATCACTGTTTGCTTTCCGGACTTTGTTATTCTCTAATTTAGTTATAATATGTATGTTTATGAATTATTTGTATTTATCCTCTTAGGTATATATATATTTTTAACATTTTTTATTGATTTATAGTCATTTTACAATGTGTCAAATTCCAGTGTAGAGCACATTTTTTCAGTTATACATGAACATACATATATTCATTGTCACATTTTTTTCTCTGTGAGCTACCATAAGATCTTGTGTATA